TAAATCTTGCTTTTTTATTAGTTTTTGCGTTATTGTATTTTAAAAAGTGTCCACAATATTCTGGGAGGCCTCTGTATAACAAATTAGAATATTTCATTTATCACAATTTGCAATGCCAACTTTTTGATCTTTTAATTTAGTTGTCTAAAATGGCGTGAAGCATGAATTAATCTGAATAATTAAAAAAATAATATAATAAATCAAATATCTATCTGAATTTAACAGTTGGCAAAGGTTTATGATAATGTAAAAGCGCGGAATTAAATTTATATAAAAGGAGACTTGTCGAGCCTAAGGTTCTTCATTATCTAATCGATTATCTATAGCAGAATAAATAAAAACTAATAAAAAACCACTAATTCTCTAAATCAAAGATGAAACGCATAATTTTTTTAGTACTCTTTATCTTTTTTGGATTAGCATTCAATATTATTTATGCTCAAGATAAACCCTCTACAACAACTCCAATTACCGACGAAATGAAAAATGAAATGATGTTGACACCCAACATTATTAAAGACCTCAACCAAACTCTTTATACCCGGGTTAACGTACCAATTAATGAGAAACTAATGGAGAACGTTTTATCCTCTGAAGAACTTTCTCAACACTTTCCATTCGGCAAATTCGAATTCACGATAAAAGTACCAAAACAACCTTTGAGTTTTAGAGTAAAGATCGTTCCTAAATTATACGGAATACAATTAATTGTCAAACCTGAATTCAGAGAAGCATATATTGATCTAGTACTTCGTAGCGGTAATGATGAATCCCAGAACACACCCGATTCATTTGATTCGGTTGCCGATGTCAATAACGAAGTGTTCGAAGGTGCATTCCCCGTATCAATTCCCTTAACTGCCGCAGGAATTCAAGATTTGATGCCCTCTTTTGGAATATTTTCGAAATTGTTTGGAGGGAATTGGAAAATTGTAGTTCCTGCGCAAAAAATTGAATGGGACGTGAGTATTGCTTATAGATCGGGTACTTTTAGAATCACCTTCAAACCGAAATTTAAACAATTCTTATTGCTGCTAATTAGAGATACAAAGAAAAGCGTGTAATTAGTTTTGTAATTAAGTTTGTTTTTTATTATAATTCATATATGTGTATTTTTTTAGCTAATAAATTTAGATAATTTGATCAAATTTATATTTTATATCACCACTGGTTTTTCATTCTTCAAAAAAAACTTGATTTAGCGTTAGACCAGGAGATCCCCTATAAAAACAAACAAGCACAAAGATCCACGGAATAGTACGAAATGGCACGAGATGGTACATATAAGCATGGTAAGCGACAAATTCCGTATACATAAACACTGTTTTTTTTTAGCATCGAACTACACGAATAAGTATGGACTGTCAAATTTGTGCCATTTCTGTGTTAAAAAGCCATGCCAAAACGTGTTCATGTATACAGAATTTGTCGCATTTTCTATGCTTATACTTACCATGCCGTGCCATTCCTTGCAATTTTCGTAAATTACGTGCTTGTTTTTTTCATAGAGAATTTCTCAGGGATAGTTAAATAGATCTGTTTTGAACATGATCTGTTATCCAACGGTTTTCTATGAGTGGTTGTGATTGTTTATGTGGCCAATTACGGTATTTGAGTATTTTATGAAATTTTCTTCGTTCACGAATACAAAGTTTATAAAAGTCAAAAAGAATGATAATCTCACACACACCGACAATATATTACCGGAAATTCCAAAAATCACCGGATGTCGAGATATTGGGTTCCAAAGTGACAAATTCATTTTTGGAATATATTGTGGGGTGTGGTTATTCTTTAGTACTAGAAACACGACAAAATAAGTCTTATTTTATCTATAACAATTTACAAAAACAGCAATATAAAGTTATCAATAGCAGCAGAAAGGAAAAAGACATAAATTAATAATGAATAAGTAAAAGCCAAACAAACAATTTGAGCTTTATAAATTGTCTTGCTTTTTTGTTCCATAAGAGCGTATTTATAAAGAATTATACTCTTACTTTATGGTTAGTTAATTGCAGTATACATGTATCAAATACCAACATTTATTTGTGCCTGATTTCCAAAAAAGAATAATTTAATTAAAATTGATTAAACAAACTCAAACCCTACAAAATCATGAACTTTTTTTATACTTCAAACCCACAATCAAATTATGAAAGTTAGAGTTGACGGGTTTTATGATTTTATTTTGTTGAGCAGAGTGTTGCTTTAAGGTTCCTCTATTTCTAATTAAATCAATACTATTGTTGATTACAGCCTTCACTGCTCACAGATAATAGAAAATTTCCCAAAAACTTGGCCTGAATATTATATTCTGGTTGTATGTGCACTTTTACCTAAACTAAATGATTTAAGTGTGAGTTATTCTATTACATGTACTATGTACAGTCGCCGCAAAAAATAACGCCCGATTTTTATAAAAATAAAACTTCAAATATATATATGATTTATTTTATTTTTTTATTCTATACATACATT